TTTGTTGTCTCACTCCAGAAATACAATAGGAATCTGATTTGGTAATTGCAAAACCCCAGTTCGCATAACAGTCTATTTACAGTGTTCTGGTAGAATTTGACAAAGTTAATAATGTCCTTCATCATGCCATCAGGATTATGAAAATGTGCTCCCAACTGATTAGCCACGAAAAAAAGAATAATCAGAGACAACTTCTGTCAGCAATGTACTTGCATTTTCTACTTGTCAAGATCAAACAAAATAAATTGGTCTCATACGTCTTCCTGGACCATTCTGGATTCAAAAGTGTCAGTTTCAGTGGCATTCTCAGCTGCATCAAGCACTAATACTGAGGTAAGTTTCTAAGCACAAAAGGAGGACTCGTTTGTTTACAGTACTTACTATACTCCCAATCTGACAATACGTAAATTTCCTCCTTTTTAGAAGACAGCTAATAATAATGCACACAATTAATTGTACAACACATTTTAATTTAACATGAACTGGACAATATCACCTAGTGTGCACAGTCCAGCCACCCCAAGTAGAGATTCCAATTATTACATGAGAGCTAAGACTTTATGACATTTCCTACAAATGCTAATTAGCTGGTAAGTTAGGGCCCTCAGTCATGTAGCACTTCATCAATCACAAAGCTTAAACTATTAAAGATGGAAACTGTAAAATTTTACATGAAAAGTTACGTTGCAAGCTAAAGCAGAATATTATATCAGCCCCATTTACATGGTGTTCTTCTATAATAGTCCCCACAAAAGAATTTCCACAAGCTGTTGTCCTAATATGATCCAGGTCTACATCATCTACACTGCTGTTGTCTGAACAGCTACTGTTTTCAGCACTGAGACTCATACTACAGAGTATCTAATCAGTTTTTAAATATCTGCAGATTCCTAGAAGACAAAACCTAGAGGAGGTATAGCCACTACATGAAAGAGAAAATGTGGGAACAAAAAGCGACACGAAAGAATCATCATCCCGTTCAGCACTTCTTACCCTCCAGCCTACAACTCGGCCATATTCATAGAACTTGCATGTTCTTGTAAGAAATACATAAAGATTTCTGAGGTCTGCCCCTCTGCATGCTAAACTGACAGATATGAGGTGTAAGACTAGCTTTGCCAGGTTAAACAAGGCTATTAAAACAGCATACCCAGCTTTACTGGCACTAAAATGGAACAGTGGTGCCAAAGATTCTAAAAGAAAGAAATATTAAGTAATATTGCACCTCTGACATTGACATAAGTTTATTATTACTCCATGCCAATCCACCTTGATCCAAATCCTCTAAATGCATGCTGTTCCAGTGCCGGGCCTCCCTTAAGCCTGAAAATTCTACTGAATAGTGTAGCAGTTTTTCAATTTGGTCAAAAATTACACCAAAACCACTGCATGGAAGGACAATGCACCACTAGCTCGTTATCTAGCCCATTACCTTTCTCTGCAACCCACTGCTTTATGTGTGTTCCTATGCCACCCCTGGGACTCACCACAGCTGTTTTGTTGCCAATGTTGTTGTTTCTTCCACACCTTTGGTAGGGAGCCCTGAACATAACCTAACCTGTCCTGTCCTCCGACTATAACAGCTATGCAGAAAGGAGAAGAAACAGTTCCATCTCTGAAAGGGAGCTTCCCTGGTTTTGGTTTGGTCTACTTGCTGTTTGTCAGCATGGCAGATAACAGTAATGTACACAAGAGAAACAATACAGAATTAGAAATTGCATCTTTCCAACTTATATATTCCTTCCCACTCAGGTTCAGGTTATTACTGACAGAAATATTTTTAAGCGCTATATACAAATTCTTCCTTCTTCAATTACTTGAACACAACCATTAAAACAAATATTATTTTAGGCTGAGTGAAGCACTTCAGGCTGAGTGGGAAGAGATACAACCATCTACCTTGCATCAACAAACAAAGGCACTAAAACAACTGGTTATTCACAAGTCCTCATATCAAAAGTAAATAAAAATGCACAGATATAATATTTGGCACTGCATGGAAAAAATTAAATGGAGACGAGCATTATAATATTACAGTCAGAGGAATCTGATGTCTAGAGAGAACTTAGGAAGAAGAACCAGGGTTTTCATGAGAGTAAGACAGCAACCAGGGCATGGTCCTGACAGAAGGTATGTCAGTGCAGGACATCCCACTAGAGGGCACCGTAATTGTTTCATCTCCAAAGTGTCATATGAAACAGTCCATGTTGCTTTTCACCCACTGAATTCTCCACTTATATGTGTACGATGGTAACAAATGAATTTCTAATTGCTCAACATAAAAATTTCTGTCTGCGCTAGTCAAAGTGAAAACAATAGTGGAAGAAACAGCCAAAAGTTCAGAAGAAGATGAGCAAAAAATTGGAGGAACGCAAGAGGCATGTGCAATCCAGCAAGGAGTAAAGGCTAAAAGCATAATTAGATTCAAGTAAAGGATAAAATTACTGCAATCAATATATATTACATACTTATTTCTTATATATGGTTGCTATTGGAAAGTTATGTTGTAAATACGGGAAAGAAAATAGGTACGTGGAACAATCTTTTTCTTGAAGCACAGCATCCACTACTAGATAATATGAAAACCCCTGAAAAAGGACTGTTCAAAAATATTACAAGAATGTTACAGCACTAGGAATTACTACGATACATAGTCCAATATTTTCCTCAAATAACACAACTGAATGAATAATCTGCCTACAGTCAAAAAGGAGCTGTTTTCCCTTTGCCTTTGACAGAACAAAAAGTCTCTATAAGGTACAAATGCTCTGGGACAGACAACTTCATGTAGTGAGATAAAATTATCTAGAACAGAAAGGTACTAATGCCAGGAAAGCTTCTTGAAAAAAAGTACACAGGCACCGAACATCATCTTCCCTTCTACATGCAAGTATCATGGTCGAGATGAGACTGCATTGGCTGATGCTCAAGGAGGCTAAAGTCATCATCTAGCAAGCACTGCAAAATTAAGTTGAACACTTGGATTAACTAGACAAGATTTTTTTTTTTTTTTCCCCAGATTAATTTAAAAGCCTGGACTTCCATTGGTGACATACAGAATTTTCTACTTCATAACTGTACACCAGGCACATGAAAACTAAACAGTGAAAGCATCCTTTATTTAAATAAATGTAGAGTATGGTACTATAACAGGGGTGAGTAGAGCAGGATTTTTCAACCAAATTTTTCCTAGTCAAATTATCTGTGCTTGAATTTATCTCCAAACATATTCAAAGAGAGCCACAAATAAAATAGTGATCCAAAGGTGAAAGTAAGAGGAATGTTTAAAATGTATTTTCCAAATACGATATTTTTCTCCTATAAACAATATAATGGTGTAATGATGATCTCATATTAGCTTATTTACCAGAATAAAAACCTGCCAAAAAAAATCAGATTCTACTTCCAATGTTAAAGAATCAATTTAGGTGCTAACTCTGATTTTGCACCTAGTAGTCAGCAAGATTTATTTATCGCATTGTAGACTAGAGCTTACAAGGCTATAACGTGCATTTACTCTATGATTTAACGAAGAGAGGTAGTCCAATTTGAGAGTGATTATTTTCAACAAGAAGCAGGTGCAAAGAGGCAAGACCATCTGCAAGCCCTAATAAAATAGCCACGATGTATTAAAACCAGAAAAACACACTATATTGCATATTTCTGGGCACATAACCATGACAGATAGTGCTGACAGCTCTGGGATGTTATATATTCATCACTAAAGTTTGATCACTGAATCCACAATTCCTCCTCCTGATCCATTTCCTCAACATCTACATACAAGACCAGCTGTAAATTGACGGTTTGACTGGGTTTTTTTAGAATACAAACCATAAGAAAAGATTCATTCTTTTCTTCAACAGTCTCAAGTGATGTCCAAAACTAATTAGCATTCAGCACAGGATAAAAGGCTTGAAGTTCGCTATCTTTACCTCATCAGAAATGCTAACAAGGCAAATATTCAGAAATGAGATTAAAGTGGATGAGTACCTATATTCCAGTTTTGAGAAGTCTTATTTCCTGGGCCTGAAAAAGCAGTCTTCTCAATTTCTGGAAAATAAGGACTCGGCTTTTTTAAGACCAATTGCAGACAGAAGCCCACCTAGACAATGTGAACCTTATAGGAAACCTGGAGGAAAACCACAGTGCCATGAATAACCTACATAACAATAAGAATAGAGAGTAAGGAGCAGACATTCTTTTAGTGGTTGTTAAGAGGAGGGAGAAGTATTAGGAAAATGTGTTTGATGCCAGGAACAACTTCTCTATTTATCTGGGTGCTCACAAGTGCATCAATATACAAGAAAGAGCGATAACACACGATCCACTCAGAACATACCTGCTAGTATAAATATTTCTGTGAGTGTGAGAAAAAGGATACGGTAGATAAACACTCTACTATTATATGCAGAACCCTTACAGAGCTGCCTTTCCAGTAAATTCCCTCCCCACTCCCACAAGGTGGAAACTGTAATGATTAAATCCAACTTCCCAAAGAGAATAAATGCAGTCAGCTAAATTTGTGGAAAATTAGAAATAAAACTAGTAAGGCTGTTTGCAGAGAGCCCCCCTTCTTAATGTCTTTAGCTCACAGGAAAAGCAGAAAATTGACTTAATTTAGGTTTCTTCCCCACACCCCTCCTCCTTCTCCAAAAAAAAGTCTTTAAAGAAAAAAAGAGCAGTGTTGTAATCTTTTAGCAGTCCCACACATTTTATTTTGGTTATTTGGAAAGACTGGTAATTAGTAAGGATAATGGAATCCCTCATGTTGAGGAATAAGAAGTTTTGTTAAAATTTTTAAGACTTTCATTTAACATCAATAATTTTTGGAAACTGCAGCATCTAATATTTTTGTGCTATAAAAAATTAAGATATAATACTATAGAAGTGATTCCATGGAAAGCATATTTTATATTAGAGAACTACTTGACTATTAGAGATTTACTCATTGCATTTTTTTAATATATTAAAAGTAAAAGGCTATAAGAAATAAATACATTTCATTTAAATGGCCCTCAAAAGTTTTATATCCTTTCATCAGTGACCTTACCTTTTTTTGAAGTACATTAATTTTTCTTTCTTTTACTTCCAACATGTCTTTCATGTCTCGAATCTCTCCAGCCAGGGTTCCTTTCTCTTCTGTGAGGTCCTGAAGTTGTTTTGTTTTTTTATTCAGAAAGGTTTCTTTTTCTTCCAATCGTAACCGCAAGGCATCAACCTACAGTAAGTAAATCAAACGTATTTAGGTTTAGTAAAGATCATTAGCATATTTTATTTATTTTTCCTAATTCCCTTGTTTTTTGTCACGTAAGAAATGTTTTTGCTTTCTATATAGATTTTCCAACTTTATCTCAGACTAGAGATCCATTTACTTGTTAAAATGTAATAAAAAATGAAAGTACTTTTAGAACCAAACCATGAATAGAAAAAGTATAATAATCAAAACATTTAATAACATTAAAACAGTCCTAAATTGTCATGTGCATAAAAGACTCAAAAAAAAAAATCATCTTGACTTATTAAATATATAACTCATTGAAAAAAGTGTTCTGATTCCTGTATTTAATTTGTCCATTAAAGCCATGAAGTGAGTAATCATATATGACAGTCACGACACAGGTTTGGTCACAGATCAGTTATCTTGAAACAGGATTATTTAATGAAGACACAGAAAATAGGCAAATGATAATGTTCATTTTTTTCCAGTGTATATCGCAAAAGTCTCTTCACAAATGGGCCATGCTGTACTTCTCTGTAGTAAGCACAATTCCCTGACAGCCAAAATAAGGGATATCACAAGGATTTTCCTAAACAGAAATGTCTTCACAAAGAACCTCATCAAACTGCTCCACATTGCATAACTATTTTCCTTTAGAAAAATTAAAAAAAAAAAAAATCACAAACATTCTGCATAAATGCTGAAGCATGCAATTTTATTGTTCTCTTAACACAATTCAAACAGTTCTTCAAAATATGGTCAGGGAAATACTTCCTGGAAAAAAATCCATAGATCACTTGACACTGGTTACTATTTGTATACACAAGCACTTCTACTGCTAATAGAAGCTTGGGTACTCATAAAAGCCTCTGGAAATATGGAGAAAAATAGCTGACTGTCCTCTGTTATAGAAGTGGAGGTTGAGAGGCATGGGATGGCAGAGGGAAGAGAAGCAGCACCAGCATAAATATTAATATCCAAAAAGAGAAAAACATCTGGTGAAGCAATGAACCAAGTGGTGAGAAAAAGGAGAATTTAAATGACAGGGTACCTGTTCAAGGAAATTGAGAAGGAAGGAACCGGCTCTTTGGGGAGTATAATTAAGAAATATATGCACAATGTGAATAGACAGACATGGCCACAGCAGTAGGCATATACTCAGGGATCCACGTGGAAACAAAAGTAAGTCAAAATAGGGGATTAAACAAAGAGCTAAGCAGGAAAACAACTTTTTTTTCAAGTAGATTTAACATTTACTTCAGTCCTTCAAACTCCTAGTACTTTTTTAATAACACTTTTCTACATAAGCACTGCCTAGAGTAGTTACCACAAGGTAAGGTATGATTCCAAATGGAAAAGTTGGTACTCTTCACACCGAGAGAGGAGAGGAAGCAGTCACTTTCAAGAGGCTCACTGGTACCATCTTCTAATATACTATTCAGAGTATTGGCTCTCAAGAACTTTCAAAAGGATATTCGAAGCTAAGAGATCTTGTCACAGCTTCCTTCAATGAAAATATAATAATGGAATGGCATACAGCAAATACGTAAGTGGTCTTACAATGATGTGGTGGTGAAGTGGAGGTGAAACTATAAAGCGAAATTGGAAGCAAGAATTAGCGATGGAAACTTAGAATATTATAATTTCATACAAAGTAGAGGACTAAGATAAAGAGAGTGCAATCATTTGCTATTACAAAGACAGCTTCCCTAGAATAGAGGCTACTTTTCTGATACTGTTTTCTTCTGCAGCTCTGAAACCATGAGGTGTTCACATTAAGTGGACCCATACAGGCTTGTTTTGGCTGCAAGACATGCCTTTGAGAAACAAAGTTTAAATTGAAAATATATGATGTAGCAATCTAGAACATTTCTCCATCTACAAGAGAGCAGCAGGAAGGCAGCAAGCAAAAAATTTTAGATTCACTAATCCAAATTTCAAACATACAAATGTCAGAAAATAAAGAACAAGGGTTAAAAGTTTGCATCACATAGCAATTCATAGGGTTTATTCATAACAAAAAGCTAGATGGAAGTAACTGAAAGGGCATAATGTTAGTTCAGCATTTTTAAGTTCTGCAACTGAAATAGCCAGAAAGGAACATATGTATTAAGCACTTTTTTCCTAGGTAATCGGAATATTAGTAAAGTACAAAACAATCAGCATTTCTAATTTATTTTTATTTATATTCTGAGTTTTGTAATGCTAAATTTATTCAAAGCAAAAGTGTTCACAATGCCATTTTAAAACTTGGTTTGGGACCAATTTAGATGATCTATTGGATCTCGAAATGCATGTTCTTCCTGCTCTTAAAATGGCTCATTGCTTTTCTATACAGTGGAAAAAAGATTTATATTCTACTGGATTGACTTTATTTTTAAGACTTTTTTTACAATATTGTAGTAACAGGATCTTGCAAATTGTAAGCAGCGTGCAGTATGAGATTCAAAGATGACTTTTTAAGTTAGAAAACAAGAAATAGTAGAAGCAGCAAACTTTCAGACCTCCTTTAATAAACATAAAAGACCTCATCTGAAACTCATTACCACATCTTCTTTATACTTAATCACTTATTTGCTTCACGTCTGAAAGCAATCCCTTAAGTCAAATCATCAAAAATCTCTGTTGGGCCTTTAAGCTGCAGCTGAAAAGCTCGTCATAACATTGCAGCAGGAGCTCCAAAAGGAGTTCTCTTCAGTCAGGCACTGCAGGTCTCATTTTCCAACTGCCACTGGGCAGAAGCTTAATGCTTGAATTTAGAGGGAGTCGAAGGTGCTTAGACTCACTGATAAACAAACCCCTGATACCGATCCCCGGTGACTGGGATAACACAGTAGCTTACACATGTGATGATGCAGTTCAGTTCTGCTTGGCTGAACCAGGCAGTTTCTGAGTCAATAGTCTTTTCTTCTCTAACCATTCAGTAAGGTCAAGCAGACAATTCCCACTCTTCTTCACAAATGTCTTCCCACGCATCCTGTCATCACAGCTTACTAGATACAACTAAGGAATGGGAATTTAAAGCATTAAAAATGGGGAGCACAAGAAGGAGGTCTGGGAGGATGAGTAGATGGCATTGAAGCCCACAGCTGTGAATGAGAACCTGTGTGGGAAAGGGGAGCAGAACCCCATCCGCTTCAGTTTCTCAGCCCCCATTCCTGCCCTGACACAGCTATTAGTTTGAGCACCACATGACTGACCCTTTCTGCATTTCCTATCAACATTAGCCAGCTCATAACACAATTAATACCCATTTCTACTTCCTAACGAAAGACACAAATTCAAACTGGAGGGACAAGAGAAGGTGCATGGTGGCTTTCCTTAACACCAGAAACACACACACACGGAACTCCGAAGCAGAGCCGCAATCGCCATCCTTCCTTTCCCTGGTTAGCAGTCAGAGGCCATCCACACAAAGACCTTTAAGTTAGCACAAGGGTTATGACCTCGACAGCACCACAAAGTACCAGGTACCTAGTATTTCAGTTGTCTGAGCTGACTCTAAACGTTGAAACACATTATTTACTTGTTGATGTCATAAATAGATTATTCCACAAACCTTCATGAAAACAGATGACACCTTAGGTCAATTCTTTCAGCTCCATAGTAATTTTTAAACATTTATTAATGAACACCCATGTGTTTGAGATGAATTGCATTCTTGCATAAGAAGTTGTGCATGGCCTTAAGATCTGAATATATTTAGATGTAAGTGGTATAACCTCTGCCTAGAACCCCAGTTTCCACAAGAGATTGCTCTTAATATAAAGGTACCTCAGTTTTCCTTTAAGAATTCATTTCTAGCTTTGGTAGCTTCAAATAAAAGCTTTACAGCACAACTGAAGTGCAGCTTCAATTGCACCGAAAAACAGTGTTCTAAATTATTTGAAACAGCCAAAGAATCTCGATTCCAGCAACCCACTTCACACAAGGACAGGGCAAGCATTGGGAAGGAAAGAGTACGGCACATCCAACCACAGCCTTAAGTGGCAGATCCCTCGTTCCAGTGTACCCAACCTCCATTCCTCGCTCTCCGGCAGGTGAGTGGTTCTGGCTGCTCCAGAGCTAGAGAGGCCACACTCGTCGCTAACACAGAGAGGTAAAAGATGGGCTTACCCCACATGTTCTCTCTCAGGGACTCTGACACTTCCGTAACAGTCCATGATGTGGTCTCCAAGCCACAACAAATCCAATGTCATCCTTAGTTTAACCTGTCTTATTTCCCAGCCCTTTCCCAATGAACCATAGGTCAGCAAATGCTCTACTGTTCTACCCAGAACAGTTCCACCGAACTGGAGTTTGAGTTCCACAGAATTACAAGGCAATTCCTTCATAATGGAATTTCACCTTCCTGGCAAAACACAAATCTTTCTCAAGTGTGCTGAGAATCAGCTAGTGACATGTGTTATTGACAGAGCATTTCCCATGTTTCAGTCTGGATCATGGAAATTCAAACTAATCTTTTGCAAACCATTCATCTTCCCATTCTTTTACAAGACAATACCTTGGTTTATGCTCCCTCTTTTTTTTTTTCCCTTTATGCAGAAATATTTTAACCATTATACAGACTAAAACCTTTAACATCACAAAAGGATAACATTTATAACACAGCATGGTTTTTGATCTGTGTCATACAAAGAGGATGACCGGAAAAAAATTATCTCTAGTCTTCTTCCCCAGAACCTATTTTTTGTGTCCTGACACCAATGTTGGGAAACAAAAAAAAAAAAATCTGCCAAATATATCTCTCTTTTCTTACATCTCCTCAACTAGTGGTCAGATATCTGAAGATTGATACAGCAGAGCACTTCAATTCAAAAATCCACCTACACAATGAAGCCCAGGTATTTTGAGAGAATAGGTATATCATCCCCCAAACTAACATACACAGCAAGGAGTCATTCCAAAATTGGTGCTCTATGTGAGTTTTCAGAGAGGCAGAACTCTGAGCCAGTGCCAGTCTGGGAGAGTGAATAGGCAACTCATACCATGTGTGGTCC